GCTGGACTCTGATATCGAGCTCATGAAGCAAAATCCAAATGCCTAAAAAGCAGCTCAGCTCTTTCAGATGTGATGCAGATATTTTCGCACTCCAAGGTTCTGCCATTGACTCAGACAGGAGCAGAGCCTTTTTTCTATCTCTTCTTCTCCATTTGAAGTAATTGTGGTTTCCTTTTTTTCTCTAACCAAGAGCCAGATGTTGCCTTTTCTGTCTTTTTTTATTTTGGTTGGGTTGATTTATAAGGTTGTTTTATTATTTACAAAAACACTCCTCATGTTTGGTTCGATTAAGTCTTTATAATGGTTTATTTATGTTTCTTATTTCATTGTGGTATAATTATTTTAAAGGTTTAAATTGCTCATTTTTTAAATGACCAAACGGTATAGAAATGAATCAACTTAATATAATGTATTGCTATATTTTTGCTTTCTTGAGGTCAGTTTTTTTTTGGGACATATTGGTGATGATAAAGGGCTATGAGGTGGATAATAAAATAAATATGGCAAACACTGTGCATTTTTCTTTTTTTTTTCCAGTGAATGCTAATATTAGAAATATTACTGTGATTCCGTAGTTAATGTAGTCCTTATAGGGTTTCCCAGACGCCTCCTTTATTTCAGGTTTTTTCTGAGATCTTTTTTTTTCGACAGGAGGAGCTTCTGCCGCTGTCAGCTGGTTTTCTGTCCTCAATAATCAACACCTTTTCCTGCTGTTAGATGGTTTTCTCTGTTTTTATGCAGCCATCTTATTAAAAATATAAATACACAATTAAATAACCACTGATAGAGGTTATACCAAAGTTCACCATGCATATATCCACAAACCTTATTCTTATAACCTTTTTTTATTTCTGCTTAACGTTATATTTTAAACTTTTTTTTAACCTGAATGAGTTATGTGGACTAACTGAGGTCTCTAACATCCTTTATCCAAAATGTGTTTCTTTTTCTTTGTTTTGGTTTGTTTAATTTTTTCTTACTTTGTTTAAATATTTGCGAATTTTTAAATATGTATTATATAAAATGTGGTAAAACCACATTAACATAAATCCGAAATTTAACTTTACTTTCCAAATGTGCTGCTTCTCTTTTATTTCTATATTTATATCTTTTTTTTATGTTTTTTTTTAAGCCATCTAACATTTTTCCTCCAACATTGAAATTAATGAATATAAGTTGTTTAGGAATTTGAATGGTTTTCAAGCTAAATGGGTTGAAAATGCAGAAAACCTGCGCTTTTCAGTACTGGTCGCTGTTGCTCTCCTCCAAGCTGCTCCTTTTCAGACTTGGAGCTTTTAGCTGAGCCATGAAGGCGTCAGCTGAGCGCCACTTGGCAGAAAGTGGACCACCCCACATCCCCGCAATGTCTTTTTGCTGGACACCTTCAGCGCGTCTTAAGCTCTCTGATTGTCTTGGAGGTATAGCGCCATCTGCGCAGAGCCCGAATAGGAAACAGATGTGCTCCTGGTATTGTTTAGGGCCCTGTAACCTTAAAACACACACAGCCAGTGGCCTCACACAGGTATCCCTCAACAACAATTAAAGCTAAATCCTCTGATCAGGTCTACTGTTGGCGCACGGCAACTGTTGGAGCTTTTGGAGCTGGAGGAGGAACAAATCAATGGTTCAGGTGCATTGGAAAAAATTAAATCTAGATAAGTCATTATTTCTTAAAATAAGTGCATTTGTTCTTGGCTTGGGGAGTTAAAAGAGACATTTTGCCAATAAAACAAGACAATTTACACATAAATTGCATTGTCTTAATTCAAGTTTATATTATCTAATTATCTTATTTTAAGAGTAAAGAAACTCATTCCATTGGCAAACTATCAAATTATGGGTAAATACACTTAATTTAAGACATTTTTACTATATCGTTTTTCCAGTGTGGTTGAATTAAACTTTAGGAAGATTAAAGGTAATTAAACAATTCAGAGTTTTCAAAGAAATTTGTATTTTAAAGAAAAATTAAAATTGTATTTAAAATATCCTCGCTGCGCTTTTATGGGCTCTAAATACAGAACACGTTAATTATCCGTTACAGACCATCTTATTTAAAATACAAACTTTCACTGATAATACTTAACAGTGTTTTGCATCGGTTGTTTAAACAAGAGTTTGGACATATTGATTATTAAGCAGGTGTTGTGATTAAAATGTTCAAATAAATTCAACAAACTTAAGTGATTTATCCCGAAATCAGGCTGCAATAGTAATTAAAAAAAGAAATCCGTGAAGGCTTTTTACATCTCCTCTAAATAAAAGGGTGACGTTTCTCTAAAAATGAGACATGAGGCAAACACCTGAGTTTAAACCCTACACATTTAACATTTAATAGATCCTTCTCTGTGGCCTTTATAATCGGAGCGATAAGAAAAGCAGATCGAGATTTGGCTTCATAGGAATCAGCAGTTTGCAAAGAACCAAGAGAATCAAATCAGAGCCTGAGAATCCTGCAAAATTAAGCGCAGAAGAAAGCGATCTGCTTTATTGTTTGGACTTATTTTTTTAAAAGAAGAAAAACTGGAATCAAATGGTCAATCAAACAATGCAAGATTGATTTATCCTGCTATATTTTGTCCTACTTTGAGTATAAAAGTATAGATAAAATTGTGTCAAATGAAACAAAAAAATAATAATTTTATATAGGCTGTAATGTACTTTCTGATAAACACCACATTAAATTCATAAAAACGTATATATTTGTTTTCTCTGAAGAGATCTTCGGTGTGATTGTGGTTTTGCGCGCTGCTCCTTAAACAGGGATGAAATTCATCGACAGGCAACTAGAAACAGTCATATGTCTGCTGCCTTAAAGTGTTTGGTTAACAGAAAAAAGAACCAGCTCGTCTCGGTGTGACTTGTTAATGCCTTAATTAATCATCCTGGATGTAAAGCTTGTGCGTCTGGAAAGGTTTGGCAGCGGAAAGCCTCTCTGCTCCTCTGGAAGACTTTTTTTTTTCCTGCGCTGCAGAGCTGCATCAACAACACGACTCCAGAGAAGGTCCTTTAAGATAAGGCAGTGGCAGGGTTCTCACTGTCCTTTCCTAAAGTGCATTGTTGACATCCTCTCCACTGACCTCCAACACCCCCTTCTGTCTTGTCCTATAAGGATGAAAAACGATTCGCCCGGAGTGCCTGGATTTCCCTTCCTGCCTCAGGAGAGCCGCATCAATCACACCGACGTTTGTTTGGGAGGAAAAAACGTCGCTTCTCTATCATGGAGCACCTTTCTGCACACAATACAGGTTGCATTCGAGTCAGTTACCAACCCACTTATCTGTGGAAAAGAGCCACGGTGAAAAGAAATAAGGCGAGAGCTTTAACGCACATGTCGGATGATCCTGGCTCATCCGACTGTGGCCTTAGGGGAGCGATTGCGCGCTGGAAATGACTCTCATTTATTGTTTTTACAGCAGATTCAAAACCGCACAGACCTAAAACCGACCGACAGCTTTCACTGCTGCTTATTCAGTCAAGCAAAGGTAATTACCCTTTTATAAACAACACACACCGATGTTACATCCCAGACACCTATCCTGCAGAGAACAAATGGAATAAAGTTTAAACAAAACAATTTTACCTTTTACATTATTATAATTGGTATCATTAAAAATAGTTTAATATATTTCTGTTGCTTATGACCTCTATGATTATTTAAAAAACACCCCTAACAACTATTATTTAAGCTTTATGTATCTGATGATAACGGTTAATCCTATGAATGGCCTAACCGCATTAGTCTACGCAATAAGATAAGAGTAACTTTCTCTGCTTTTAAAATTTGCATTTCTAATAATTTACCTATTTATTATTTCTTGGCTATATTTACAAAAAAAAATGCAGATTTTTTTTTTTTTATGTTCATACTTTTAATACGTAAATAACTAAGTAGGCCTAATTCATGAATCGTTATTTCGATTTCTGTTTTACGCACATTTAAAGGTATTTAAAAATGTTTAGTTGTAATAAAGTTGAGTCTAAATACATTTAAACACAATTAGACATTGATTCAGTTGGTAAACTAAAAGTAAAAAAAATAAATAATTAAAATTGAAAATGTTGTGGTTTTATATCTTTTTTAAAGGGACAGGTTTTCCAAGGTGGCCAGGGTGGTGTTGGGTTGCTGGGGTCGGAGGATACTGATTAAGGAAGCAGTAAAAAAAAAAGAAAGAAAAGAAAATAAACATCTGACAGCTGCCATATTCCAATGAGCCACCGCTGCCTGATGCAGGACTCTGAATGCAAAGCAGACCTCTGGACTGTAGCTCATCCCTGCGGGCAGATATTACATCCATCAGAGCGCACTCTTCATGCGTCAGCAGGGACCTTTAAGGTCTGGACCTGCAGAAAAAAAAATCTCCAACCAAAGACGTCCGAAACAAATGCAGCTGCAGCTGTATATTATTTTTCTTTCATCTGTACAGAAACGCTCCAATCGTGGTGAAACAGAAGCCAGACGGAAGCTTGATGCGCGCTTTGTGACCAGACTGATTTGTTTTGCTGACAAGGCCTCTGGTGAACTCAGATCTCACTGATGCCACACGTGAGTTTGTTTACCTCCGGTGTTTACGTTTAACACAGAAAATACAAGGCCTGAAGAAGGGAAAGGGGCTGCACATATCACCTTTCCTTTGGGTAGACTAAAGGTGGTTTTAGGTGAAGGAAATGTGCAGCCTTGAGGCTACAAAGCTTTATTTTTAGTGCAAAATATCTACAGGTCTTAAAAAAACTGTTCCACAATCTTTGTAAAATAACAATAAAATAAAACAAATTCCTATTCATATAAGCTCGGCGCCTCTACACACACACACACACACACACACACTTATTCTGATTTTATCAAAGCTGTAAATAGACCTTATCAGTGGCCATGATTAATTAGCGTTTTCTAAACAGTTTATAGGATTTTCTCTCTTTTTTTTCCTTTTTTTTTTTTACATTTGATTGTATTTTACGACCTTTTTTTTTTACAGCATAGTGCTAATAAATCACTCAAATTAAAATCAAATATTCGGCACTTTATTAAACAAAACAACTTGTAATGCCTTCAGATTTTTTTTTCTTTAAAACAAATTACAGAATGAATAAAATAGGCCAGTACAGGCTACAGAGTCTCCCCCCGTGCATTTCTATACAACATGAACAATTTTAAAGGCAGCAAGAAAACTGGGGAAGAGTTTGGTCCTCACATTCCACCCACCTGCTTTTCTTTCAAAATAAATTACTATATTAGGCTATAATTTACAGTCTATGCATAAAGGTGGTAGGAGCAATTCTCAAAGTGAGAGGGAATGAAACTTACGTGTTGTGGTGTTACACTGCTCAAAAAAAAAATAATAAAAAAATTCTCTCCTGTCCACTTGGAGAGTTAAAGTACAGCAAGGGAAAAAAAAAGCAAATATATACTGGAATTATTAAGTTAAATTGGATGTTTCTGGCTTTCAAAACTTGCTGCAGTCATAAACGAACGCTCCAGACGTGCGGTACAGGGACTGTCCGGATGGGAAGGCCATCTGACAGCTGTTATTCCCGCTCACCGGGGAGCCGTTCAGCCCGATCCGCTGGGACTCGAACATCTCCCTCACAGCGTGGAAGTTCTGCTGCTGCGCCGGGTAGGCCGGGCTCAGGTGGCTCAGGTCTCCGTACCAGGACGCCAGCCTTCCCTGGTGCGCATGGTGACCCTCCTGACCCGTCTGGCCCAGCGGGGATGCGGTGGTCGTGGTGATGCAATATTCTGGGAGAGCTTCCTCCACCGTGGTGGAGGGGGCCAGGGGCCCCACGGATGAGCGGTCCCCGGCGTACAGGCTCATGGCCTGCATGTTGCAGTGATAGGTGGCGTTAGAGCTGGAGGAGATGGCGCCCTGGTTGCAGGGGGTTGAGGTGTAGGAGGGGGTCTGGTTGGGGGAGTAGTTGAGCGACAGTGACGGTGTTATACCTGTCCGGGAGGAGGCGATGAGAGGCGGAGAGAGCTCGGCCTGCGGGGAGCCCCGTAAGGAGGTGATGATGTTGTCCACGCTGAAGCCCTGCGCCGAGGCCTGGCCGTGGCCGTGGTGGTGGTGCTCGGCTCCTTCTATGTTGAGGGACCGGGTGGAGGGCACGCTGTGCGGGCTGCCTGTTGACAAGCTGCTGCTGCTGCTGTCCGGGCTTTCGATTTTAGGCACCGCGCCCAGGGTCGGTGATGCAGCCTGCGGCGGAGAGGAGGTCCCGTTTTCAGTCTTAATGTCCTGGATGCGCACTGGCTGCGCGCCCGGTGCTGAAGGCTCCTGCTCCCGGCCTGAGGGCCGCGCAGACGGATCCTTCCCCTGCCTGTCCCGCTCCTCCTTCTCCCTCTGCACGTCCTTCTTTTTAAACCTCCTGCGGCGCCGCAGGAAGCTCCCGTTCTCAAACATATTATAGGAGTCCGGATCCAAGGTCCAGTAGCTGCCCTTCCCGGGCTTCTTGTCGTCCCGGGGCACTTTGACAAAACACTCGTTGAGGGACAGGTTATGTCGGATGCTGTTCTGCCAGCCCTGCTTGTTGTCCCGGTAGAAGGGGAACCTCTCCATGATGAACTGATAAATCCCGTTCAGGGTGATCTTCTTCTCCGGGGAGTTCTGGATCGCCATGGTGATGAGAGCGATGTAGCTGTAGGGAGGCTTGACCATGTCCTTCGGCTGGTGCTGCGGGGTGTACGGTCCATACGCGCGCGCCATGCCGGCCGGGTACTGTTCGTGCGCCGCGTGTGAATAAACGCTCATGGGTGCGGGCATCCCGGTGTACCCGCCGCCGGCTCGGTAGTAGCTCTGCTCGCTGCTGATGTAGGGAACGACTCCCAGAGAGTTGGGACTGGAGACGGAGTAGCGCGCCTGCATCCTGCCTCTCCAAACCACTTCCCCGCAGAATGCTTCACAACTTCAAGATACTGCTCACTCTCAGCTCTCTGTCCTTCCACTTGCCTTTATTTTGTTCTGTGTTTTATTCCCCTCCCGGATAGGAGTCCTTCAAGCTGCAGCTCGCCACGGTGAGGCGGACGGAGCGCACGCTGCAGCAGGGAACATTTGGGAAACTAAGAAAGCTGGAGGAGCAGGAGTATGACACAGTGAGGAACTTTTCCTTTTTTTTTTTTTTTCTTTACGCCTCGTAGTTTTCCTCCCTTTTGGCTCCTCCAGCTGCTCCACCCCGAATCCAAACGTGCTCCATCATCCAATGGGGGACGAAATGAACCTGTGGAAAAGAGCAAGGCGATAAAAGTTTCTACCCCTTCCTCCTTCCCTCCTCCTCCTCCTCCTGCTTCCCCTTTCTGTCAGCCTAGAAATGGAGTTATTAAAATGGTTTTAGGGTGTGTCCAAAGTGTGAACAACTTCACTTATTTACCTAAATTAAGATTTAACATAGCCTGCTGTAATCAGAATACATCGGATTGATATATTTAGGAAAAAGAAAGAAACCGTTTTGTAAATATGTGGGTTAGAAACAAACTGCCGCATATGCATTTATAAGACATTTAGTGGAATATTTTAAACAAATATCACCAAAAATCTTAATTTTAGCATTAGAAAAATTATTTTTGCTTTATTAAACCTGGGATTAGAGCATATGTGTTTTATATTAAGTATGCAAAATGAGATCAAACCAATCATTATTAAGTTTAAGAGGTTTTCAGCTGTACTGAGCCTCTGAATAAACAAAAGGCACATGAAAGAGAAAAAACCAAGGATGTCTCCCTCCTTCAGACCCACGGTGCCGGTGGGTGGTGTGTGAGAACTAATTATGGGTTAAAGCAGGATCATTTGGTCTGGCTGGGTGAGAAAAAGATTCACTGGGTGATGAGAGGGAGGTGAGGACTCCAAATGTCCCGACACAGGCACACACTGACAGGGTGGAAGAACAAAGTCCACTCAAGTTTTACTGGACTTTCAGAGGAATCAATAAAGAATTTTTAAAAAATATCTACAGAAAATTAAGAATTACTCATGCACAATGTAGATACGATACAATAAAAAGTATTTGTTTCCATCTTACAAGAAAGGAAACTGGTCAAGTTAAAAAAAAAACATTAAAAAGATAAAATTAATTTAACAAAAATTGTTTTGTATTTAAAATAATTTATTCTATCTAATCTATTTAATAATTTATTAAAAAAATATTATCTACACCAAAAGATACACACAAAAAGCAAGATTTTTTTAAACGTAATTATCTGTTTGTTTGTTTTTTAATTCAGCATTACGGCACAGCCTTTGTACTTATTTATACTTTATCTACATTATTCAATAAAGATAGAAAGGAAATCTAGTAAAGTGTATTTGTTTTTATCTAAATATAATAAAGATGGGCCAAGCTGGGTTTAAAGCTGCAAGCGCGCTTTGCAAGTTCAGGAATGTTTATTTTTTCTTTATTATTATTTCGGGCTTGAAAATGTCTATAAAGTAAAACGTTTTAAATGTTATTTATTTTCAGAATGTCAAATAATTCTGTAAATTCTTGATGTATCCTATTTATTTTAAATGTTTTATCATAATCGTTATTTTAATAATACTAACAATTTGCCTCTGGGATTATTAAAGTATGTCTGATTCTGAATTTGATTTTAAAAATGTTTTCTTAAACAAAAAAAGAAAATAAAAACCCCGCATAAAGATTATGTTTAAAAAAATAAAATTTATTTGCAAATTATAACTAATATATTTCATAAATATGGAAATGGTTACCGCTAAAGAGTTATTTAAAAAATGAAATCAGATTTTTCTCCCCCCTAAATTCGGTTAAAAACTGATTATTATTTTCTTATAAGGTTTTTCATTAAAAAAAAATCTGTAATAGCTGTGAAATTTATGCATCTTTAACATTGGTGGTATTTAACATTTCTGAGATCAGGTTAATTTTCACCTCAGTGTTGATTGTGATGTCTGCTCTGTGATTTACATGCATCTGCAGGGCCACATGAGGAGCGGTAGCAGCCTGGATGGGGGGGTGGGGTGGACGTGGAAACAAACGCCGTCACCTGTGGGGTCCCTCCGCAGCGGGGCCACACTGAGTGGGGCCCCCCTGCTGACCGCAGCGCTCCTCAGCTGCTCGGCCTGCAGCGCGGGGCGGTCTAACAGTAAAACAATCTGTTCCTGATGGCATCGCTCCCTTTCAATGGTTAGGTGAAAAAACAATAAACAACAGAAGCAGCCAGTATTTGGCTAAAAATACAAAAATCTTATTTATCGAAGAAGCTTGTTTGATATTTCCAATGAATGATAAAACTGCGCTTTTAATTAGGAGCGCAGGAATCGCTCATTGACACGGCACGCTCCTGCCTCCTAGTGGACAGAATACAGAAATACACCGTCTATCATTTTTAGAGCACAATAAGGAGGAGGATTATATTTAAAAGTGCAATGTTTTCCTATAAAGATGAGTTGGCTCTTGATTTACATGCATCCAAGTAGGATGCGCTCCAACGCTGTAAAATCTTTTAAAAATTAAATCCAAAACACTTCCTTCCTTTCCTTCAAGACTTTTTTATTAAAAAAGTTAGGTTTTCCTTCTGCAGTCTGAAGTGACAGGTAGATAATAATAAATGATAATTGGTCATTGGATAACAACAATAATCATGAATGGGGCTATTATCTGTTCTGCCGGATGATTAATTTTCTATTGCATTTTACATTAGGAAGATGAGCCAGGAAAAAAAAATAAAATAGGCTACTTCCCACTGATGTGATTGATGACACTTTTACCTGAGAGTTGGCAAACTATGACTACGATTAAACACATTCACTATATTACTAGTAATAGTTGTCTACTCTGTCTTATTCTTAACCTATAGGGTACAGTTTGTTGATGGACACCCATTCCCACAAAAGCAACTTTATACACTGTAAACATTCTTCATGAGGTGTTTTGGGGTGTTTATAGTTTTAGAGACCAGACCTGGAGAGTCTGCTCTGTTTTATCCCATAGGTCGGAGGTCTTCAACCGGGGGTCTATGACCGGGTCCACGGTGGAACTGTATGGGGTCGAGAAAGTTTTGGTTGATTAGACTATTTTTATATATTCCCCCTGCAATTCTTTTCACTTATTGAAATGTTTTCAATTACACATTAAAATTAACTCAACACACTGTAGTAAATAGATAAATGGAGGCAGAAGATGTCATTCAGTCATCAATTCACACATTCAGCCACACATAGGAGCTTTTTCAAGCTGGGCACCGTTTCATTCACAACACCTGACCCACCAACCAGGAATCAGAATCAGAAATACTTTAATAATCCCAGAGAGAAATTACTTTTGTTACATTTCTCCATCTGTAATAGAGTAGTAGGAACAGTTTTATATTGATGTATTAACACAATTTCATACTATATAGTTAATTAGGGGGTCCCCGCTCCATCTAAGCATCAGTTTGGGGGTCCTTTGCCTGGAAATCATTGACGACCCTTCCCATAGGTATAAGGCTGCAGGTCAGGACTATTTGCCGGACAGTCAAGTTTCTCCATTACAAACTTTATACACATGAAGTCATGAAGGTTATCAGAACACCAGGGTTCATTGACCCAACACTTCTTGCCATGTAATGCATGTAGTAAAATACTCTTCCTTAGGTTTGGGAAAGAACCATTCTTTACGTCAGATCTAGCTTTTTTACGTTATGTTTATTGTAACTGCCATGCTTGTACAGGTATGCACTGACACACTGCTAAAAACACGTCTAACCTATTGACCAGGTGAAAACTAACTAATGATACCGTCTCACTAAGGGCACCTTTATAGCCAGTTTCTTGAAGTTTACTAATTGGCCTGTTAGAAATGCTGAACTGAAGCTGTGTGAACGCGCCCCCTGCTGGCCACATTTGACCTCTGGTGCTCTGTCTAGATTCTCTGAACTGAAATGAAGGTTTTCTTAAAGGGGTTTCAGCGTCACCCGTCTTATTTATATTAGTTGGCTAATTAAAGGCAGAAGAATTTCTCCAAGTTCCCCATTCCTTAAAGCTGTGCACCCAGAAAGCGATTCGGAGCTGGTTTCCAAATAAATAGCTGCCAATCATTCATGTGAAGAACGAAATTCAGCTGTGTGGTGGTCTGGCTGGGAGGTGAGGCTGTTCTCAAGGCCTCGGAGTGCCTCTCAGATTGGCAGCTATTCTAAACGAGACGTCTGAGAGCAGACAGCTGAGTGAAAAGCTACTTCTAAAGGCCTAAGGACCTGGACTGGAAAGTCCCACATGGATCAATCAGACCTTGGTGGCCTTTTATGGATATATTAGTTTGTTTGTTTGTTTTTCAGTCTTGATGTGAAACAATATTTTACATATTCCTAGTTTACTAAGCACTCAAAATAATTCCCAACAAATTATTGAAACACAAAAATATATATATATTTATGTATATATATATAAATCATAAACATTTCTGATTATAAGTTTGCTTATCTTAACTATTTTTTAACTGCTCTCAAAAATATGTGGGACAAATTTCTAAATTTGATTTTGCCGCTTTTGAAGGAGGATAATTACTGATGTAGCTGAAAGGAAAAACATCCATCAATCAATCCACATTTTTCTGGATGGAGGATAATGAAACTAAAATTGTGTCCATACTAGGGAGGCATGATATATTGCTGTTGGTATCAGAATCGGCTGTTATTTATCCTTGTTTTTTATACATTAATGTCTACCTATAGACTAAAAATAAACATCAGTGTAGTTTTTGTTCTTTTGTGTTCTCAACAATAGGAAAGCATTCAATAAATATATGTTTGAGCCCATTTTTGGAAAATACAAACCCTATTAAAAACGTTTGTGTCAAGTAACTGTAAGTCCATCAGCCACCACCCTTAGAGTGTCCCCACCAACTTTCATCACAAAGTTACACCTTTAATCTGAAAAAGGAAAAGCAGCCTTCTCAAAGAAAGGGCTGCAGGTAAATACTGACATCTGGTGGAAGCCTTCAAAAACATGTTCTTGTTCCAACGTCCATTTACGTTTTGATTTAGTTTTTTCTCTATCTTTCTTAATCTTTATTTTAAGGATGACATAATACATTTATTTTACTAACACTTTTTTAACTCATTAAAAAATTGAATCTGTATAAAACAAAATGTAAAAATCTGATATTTTCCAAAATATTTTATTCTTAAGTTGACATTTCTGCAACACATCACACGCTGGGTTTTCTTAATTTAGGCGAAATGTTGTGCATTAATAGCATCAGTGCAAATGCTTCCCTTTAAAGAAA